CTTCTTTGCTACTAATGGTAGGAGGCTTGGAGAGTGGCTGTCAGGCAGAGTGATGGTTCCAGAAGACGATATACAGTTTATCAATATTGAATTTTGTAGCTCGCCTCCGCTACCACCGTTGTAGGGAGCTGGCCAGGCTTGGCAATGTTATTTGATAATATAATAATCATCATTTATATTGCAGCTCTGGAGTGCCTCTGCTCTGACAACAGCTCAGAGCCTGGGTGTTGGAGAGATAAAACAGGCTTTAGAAGGGACAGTGAGCCAGGTTGGAATCCACGACCCTGGCAAGGTGGACTTTGGCCTTCCTCACTGACCCCTGAGAGGGGATAATTTAGCAAAAATGTCCCTCACTGATAAAAGCAGCCCTGAAATACTTTCTTTGAAAAATGTGCCCTGTGAGAACAATTAGGTTTTACCTCTTGCTCTGTCTTATTGGGCAAGTGACTCCACTTTGTCCCCCATATATCTATTGTTCCTCAGCTAGAGGAGTACTCAGCAGGTGGACAGTGGGTCACACTCTAAAGTGGCTCTGTCAGTCCAGTGCCATAGGGGTATTAGGACATGGGGCTTCTAGGGGAGGCTTTAGCAAAGGAAGGTGGAAATGGGGTCAGATGGTGCATTCATAGACTTTGACAGCTTGAAGAGACCCCATCACCTGGAAATGTGAATGTAGATCTCATTGGCAAATCAGAATCATATTTCAAAATTATATTTCAAAGCTATTCTGTATTTTAAATAGTATGTAAATTATCTTGTGATGAGTCTGAAGAGTCATCACTCTTGTTATGTTGTGGAGGGTGGGGGTTGTGTTCTAGGAGGGTGTGTGCAGTAGGGCAGGCCCACACAATAGGACCCAGAAAGCAAAACAGTTAGGTAAGGTCCTTTAAAATGAGCTGGTCTCCACCTACCACCATTTTTCTCCAGCTCTACAATGGGCCATGCAAGAAAAGGTGGGCTCAGCCAGGCGTGGTGGCTCATGCCTGTAATCCTAGCACTCTGGGAGGCTGAGGCAGGCAGATCGCTCAAGGTTAGGAGTTTGAAACCAGTCTGAGTGAGACCCTGTCTCTACCAAAAATAGAAAGAAATTAATCGACCAACTAAAAATATATACACAAAAAATTAGTCGGGCATGGTGGCGCATGCCTATAGTCCCAGCTACTCTGGAGACTGAAGCAGTAGGATCGTTTGAGCCCAGGAGTTTGAGGTTGCTGTGAGCTAGGCTGACACCACAGCACTCACTCTAGCCTGGGCAACAAAGTGAGACTCTGTCTCAAAAAACAAAAACAAAAAGTAAAGGAGGTTCTCACACTGTGGCAGGAGGAAGGTTGAGCTGTCATGTGGGAAGGTGCTCAGTTCAGGGAGGCTGGCTCCAGGTCTCCTTACTCTAGTGAATCACATGTCCTTGTAGCTTTAAGACAGCCTATACTCTTGAGGACACTGATGGAGAGGTGACCTCAGGGACTCCAGATGCCAAAGTGAGAACAGGAAAAGGGAAAGTTGTTAAGACTGCAACAGATGTCCCAGGAGACATTTGGAGTTTGGGGACCAGAATGGGATTGAGGAGGTGTTGGGAGTTGAAGTTTTGGGTTGATATCAGTGGTAAATCATGAGGGGTGTCCTAGAAGAGGGCAGAGATGGCTTAGAATTGAAGTTCTGAATCCAGGATATCAGGAAAACTTGGGGGAGATTTTGTAAACCCAAAAACACCCCTGTCCCCATCCCCTACCCCCACAGAGAGACAGAATAGATAGACTCTCTGGGGGCAGGAAGATGCTGCAGAGTTCTAACGGTGGGGTGATGGCAAAGGGCAGGGCTGGAAAAGACCAGACCCAGGCTTTGGTCAGCAGAAGGGGAGGCTCTATAAGAGCTGACTGACCAAGGACTGGCCTTGTCCTGCAATTTTAACAATAGAAAATGGGGAAACAATGCTAGGCTAGAGGTCAGGAGATCTTGGTCCTAATGTCAGTGCTGTCGTTTTGTGGCTTTGTGACCTTGGACAAATCACTTTACCTCACTGAGTTTCAGTTGTGTAGTTCTACTGTAAAACTAAGGAATTAGACTTAATGGCTGCTAAGGGCTCTTTCCAGCTCTGAAAGTATGGGTCTGTGATTCCAAAGAGTGATATGGTTTTTCCACTATGAGCCAGCTGGGTACCTTCCTGCATTACATTCACAACACAGAGCCTCATTTCTGTCCCTTTGTTTCTGGACTGTTAGGATCCTGCTGACCTGGAGCCAGCTTATCCATTTGCCAGCTTCCAGGTCAGAAGCACCCTGGTCACTTGATAGAGCTTTCCCCAAAGTGGAGTACTCCTTCTGTGGGAATAAAATTAAATGAAAGAAATTTACAGGTAGGGGTCAAGGTTCCATGGCCAAAAGAGTTTGAGAATGGTGGGTTAAACATGGTCAACAGTTTATATTTTTGTAGGATTCTCAGAGCCTTTAACATACTTTTATGCATTGTGAATCTGCAATATGGGAATATGCAGTATTTCCGTCAATTAATTTGATGGAGGGATGGTCTGTTCTTTTGAGGAGCATCTCACCAGATTAGTGTTTCATAGAGAACTCCCAGAAAGAAGTTTCACTATACTGGCATCTTTCTCTTTCTTTAAGAACTACTTGGCTGGGTGTGGTAGCCCACACCTGTAATCCTACCACTTGAGGTGGCCAAGGCGGGAGGATCACTTGAGGTCAGGAGTTTAAGACCAGCCTGGGTAACATAGCGAGACTCCGTCTCTTAAAATAATGGTGACACATGCCTGTAGTCCCAGCTACTCAGGAGGATGAGGTGGAAGGATTGGTTGAGCCAGGAGTTTGAGGTTACAGTAAGCTATGATCATGCCACTGTACTCCAGCCTGGGCGACAGAGTGAGACCCTGATACATATACATGCACACACTCACATGAACACTCCCAAAAAACTCCAACAACTGAAAGTTAGATGGCCCTTCCTTTTTCCTAAGTTCTGGACCTTTGAGTTGGGTAGAAGTGCTCACTTTTCCTATTCCAAAACCCCAAAGGCAGGTGATGTTTTGTCATGTTCTTCCTAAGGGAGCATTGCAGGCAGTGCCAGTGATTCTCTGCTCATTCCAATAGAATTGACACCCCTCACAGTGCCCCAAATCCATCCCCCATGTCTCCCTGCATCAGATGCTCATGGAATACCCCTTACCTTGACAGAGAGGTAGACTGGGCAAGTCATTATGGGCCCTTCTGAGCCCAGAGCCTTCTCTTAGTGACATAGTCCAAGGGTTAGTATGGCAGAATTGACAGGTTAGTAGCAGTTGACTTTCTGGTTTTGGGGTTGTTTTTCTGTAAGAGAAAGAAAGCTGCTAGAGTTCCCCATCCTAGGAATATATACTTTTTCTGGCTGGGCTGGAACTCTGAACCTTGAGCAGGACTGGGCAGAGGTGAGCATGGGAACAAGGAACTGGCTGTGTCTTATTTGGACAGGAAGGCTGGGCTGCACTCACTTGGACCCCAGACCGTTTTACATCCATTTTTCATGCCTAGTCTCCTTCCCCTGCCCCAGCCTGTCCAATGCCACTCTGCCCTCTTCCTCCTTCATCCTTCCTTTGAGTTCTCTCTGTGTCCTCACTGTTCTAAGCAGACAGGCTCTCCTTCTTCTTCCCCCCGCCCAATCTCTACTTCTCTTCACATTCCCTCTGCCCCCCCAGCCTGGCAGCCTGCCCTGTAGGAATGTTAATTAGCATTCTCGATTTAATTAATTCAGTAGCTAATTAATGATTGGGGACTGGGGGTGGGGAACTGGGGTGCAGGGGTTGGGGGCTGGAGGTGGCAGGGAGAAATAGCGGAGGCTGCAGAAGGCATCGCAGATGGCTGTGCGGTGGCTGGCACGGTGCCCACCGCCATGGATGCAAACACATTTGCGCGCACGCACACATACACACACACATACAAAAAGGATAGGGTGATCGAGGAATCAAATCAAAAGCAGGGAGAGAAGGGCACAGGGGCCCTGGGAACTGGGGCTGTGGGGCTGGGGGTGGGGAAGGCTCTAGATCTATTTGAATCTGCTCCGGAAGTAGAAGAACAGAAAAAAAAAAAGAAACAACCACAGGCGCAGAGAGAAGAGAGCTCTCCCGATACCCCACCCCACCCCCACCCCACCCCAGCCACCCCTCCTCCCTGGCATGGGATTCATGGGCACCAGCTGAGGACAGGGTCCCCTCCCTCTGCCTGCCATAAATATTGGCACCGAGGACCCAGACTCAGAAGGATAGGACATTCCCAAAGAAAATAGTTTTTCTTTTAAGTTGCTTTAAAAAATATATATGTGTATATACATTTTAAAAATTGCACCCGTTTTGGTGTGAGGGCGAAGGCGAGTGAAAGAAGGTGACTGAGCCAGGAGGAGAGAGCACAGATGGCTTGGTGGTGGTATGGTGTGGTGAGTTGTGGGGAGGAGAAGAGGGGGGTCTGGCAGAGGTTGGGGGTGGGCAGAATGAGGACCCTGTTTTCTTCTTTTCGGTTTGCTGTGGATGAAGGGGAGAGAAAGAGAGAGAAAGGGGGTGGGGAGAGAAGCGAGACAGATGGCAGAGTGGAGAGTCGGCAGCCAGTGCCGGCACTGCCCAGCCTGGGCGGACCCAGCTCCCTCCGCCTGCCAGCTCTCCAAATGCCACCCTTCCCCCATCCTCCCCTCTCCCATCCCCCCAGCTTGGCACTGATCTCGGGGAGAGAGAGGGAGGGAGGCTGGGCAAAGAGCATCTGTTCCCTCCATTCTCCCAGCTCCATCGGCTGCCAACCTAGGGCCATCGTCTGCCTCCATCACCCCTCCGCCCGCCCGCCTACCCACCCAATCCCAAATGGGTGCTGGATCAGGTGCTGAATCCGGCTGCCTCCTCGGGTACCAGTCACTGTGCATTGCTGTGTGTCTGCCACCGCTGCCTGGCACTCATGGGGCCGTGTGTGTGTATGTGTGTGTGTGCGCGCGCATGTACATGTACGCAAAAGCGCGTGCTGTATGTGAGCCTCCTGGGCATGGGTGGGGGTTGGCATTGCGGTTGCCAATCTAGTGTCCAACCAGAGGACAGAAGGATGGAGTGGAAGAAGGGAGAGGTTTAGGGCCTGGGAGGGGAGAAGAGGGTGCATGAGTTGCTTCATGCTGCCTGCTTACAGGCATTGGCACTGCAGCTGCCACCCCTTGTGCCCACGGAGATAGGAGAAGGTGAATGGAGGGGGGCAGCGACAGGAGTCCCCGTGCTCTGGGAGGAAGGCTCGGTACCCGGGAGCTGTTGGCATCACATCTGTCAGGCTGGTGCCCAGCACTGGGGCAATGGGGAATGGAGGACCCAGGAGGCAGGGAGGAGGGGCAGGAATGTGTTGTTAGTGTTGCTGTCCCTTTAGAAACTTAGCTCTGAGAAATGGTTGGATTATGAGGTGGTTAGTGCTCTTCCAGCCTGGGAAAGTACCGTGGTGGAAAGAGTAGTCAGAGAAGTGCCAAGAAAGAGCCTATGAGCCAGGGAGGAGGGACTGTGCCACCGCTACCCAGGGAGAACTTGTTGGGGCTGGCAATCTGGCCCTTTGTCAGAACACTGAAGGAGACAGCAAGGGCACTGGCACTGCCCATGGCGCCTGGCACAGGCTCTGGCATTGTGTGGAATAAGGACGGGTGACGGTGCCTCTCGCCAATCTGGTTGCAAGGGCTGTTGTGCCAGGAGTGAGAAGGGAGGAGAGATGTTTGCAGGGGTGTTGTTTGGGAGTACAGACTTTTTTTCTGCCAGGACCCCCTTCCCATTCCCTCTTAGGCATGCGGAGTGAGCAACTGACAGAGAGAGAGCGGCGTGAGGACACAAAGGAGGAAGCGCGCCATTGCCAAGACCCGGAGGAAGAAGGATGGAGAGCGCTGGCAGTCTTGCCTGGCCCCCAGCCAGTTTTCTGCTGAAGATGGCCATATCCCCTTGCCTGGTCTGTATATGCCACTATTGCAGCAGTGGTGGGAGGGAAGGGCTGGCTTGCTGAGCTGGGCTCTGGAATGGGAAGGGCACTTTTCTGGGGATCCCACTCTAACAAGTGAGGTGTCTGGTTTTTCTCCCTAGTGCCTTCCTCTTCTACCCCTCCCTTCACTCACCCTTCTTTCATCTCTCCATCACCACTTGGGTCTTACTGCTTGGCACCCAACTAACTGGATACTGCCACGCTTGGCAGTGCTGCACTGGCACGTGAACAGTGCCTCAGATCCTGGCACTGCGGCAAACCCAAAGCCACCAAACATGCGCATGACGCCACTTGGCGGCAGTGAGAGAGAGGGGCCATGCATATAGCAGTGCCAGGCACTGGGTGGAGCTCTGTGCTGGGAAGTGGCATGAAAGGATGCCCCTAACAGCTGGGCTGAGTCGGCACTCTCTGGCCAACCCCAACTCTGCCTTCCTCCTAATTAGATACCCACGTCCCACCCCCACTGCCCCCAAGACAGGGATTTAGATGGTACCACACCTAGTGATTGAGCAGCCATGCAAAGGGAAGCTGGAGCACAGAGGACAGATTGTAGTCACACCCAAAGCCAGTGAATTATACACTTCTTTGGGCAATAAGGACAGAAAAAAATCCTAGGAGGGCAAAAAGAGCCTGGACAAAAGCATGCCAGCTATGTTGTTTCCAAGATGGTACCAGAAGAGATAGGAAGGGAAATGGGAAGGAGAGACCCTCAGGCCTTTCTGTTGGGTGGTGGGATGGTTTGTACCTATATGTATTTCATTTTGCCTTGTGCCTTGGATTGGCTGAGCTGTGGTTGAAGTGAATTCGTTCTTTCTCCTTTGTTAAAGTCTTATATTCAAGAACAGTCTTAGAAAGGTGGAGAGTTGCTCTAGGCCTAGAGAGGTAGGCAGGTGTTAGGAAGACAAAGGCATCTGGGACTTTTCCTTCCAGAAAGACTGTTCAAAGAGATTTTGTGTTTAGGTATTTCTCTATGGCACCCCAATTGGAGTTGGATAAATTTCCATATCTTTAAAATCCACCCCAGAAAGGGAAACTGAGGACCAGCAATGAGCCCTGGTAGAGGGGTGGGCCCCTAGGAGGAGAATTGGTAGCATCCGTGGTGACATAGTCCAGCTCCCACAGAACTGGATGTTGGGCCCCCATTTGAAAGGACTTTTAGTAGGTTTATCTTTCCCTGTATCCTGGGTAGCCAGTGGCTGTAGGTCAGTGACCAACAAGATCTTCAGGTGGCAGATTTGACTCCGGGTAATGTCGGGGCAGCTAGGTGGCTCTGGGACATAGGACCTGCCCAGAGAGAAGTAAAGCCCATGCTGGGCTGAGCTGCTCAGGGCTGGGGAGCTCTGCTTTCAGCATCTCTGGAAGTAGATGGCAGCTTTGAAAGAAGCAAAGTGGTTTCCACAGTGGAGGAGAGAGCAAGGAGGCACTCAGCCAAGGAGGTGAGTGGACAATGTTTATATCTTTTCTCCTGTTCGAGAACAGCAGCATAAGCAGAAGACACTGTTAGATTTCCAATATGTTGGATGTTGAGGGTGGCGGTGATGTCAGCATAAGGAAGAGGACAAATCTGAGGTCATGACAGGCCACTGTGTGGTAGCTCCTGGTGCAGCAGGGTTGGTCCTTGGGTGCTAGAGAGATGGGGGCAGGTCACAGATGGATGTGGGCTGAGCTCTCTAGGCCAGTGATTCTCAAACTCCAAAGAGTACGGAATCACTTCAGGAGTTTCTGATTCAGTTGATTTGAATTAGTCCAGGAATGTGCATTTTAAATAAGCACTCCTGTTGTAGGTGAACAAAACTTTGAGAAACACTGTTCTGAGAGATGGTAGTCACCTTGCATGTAGGGTGGTGATCTTGTCTGGATTTCCCTTGCCTTTTGCATCCTTCCTCTTCCTCAGCCACACTCATGTCTTTGTGCTCTCACGCTGGGGACACATGTGTTGTAGGATGTGCTTATGTATGTTTTGGGTTAGGACAGTTAGGAGGAAAGGAGATTGTGAGGTCAAATCAGGCAAATGTTAGAACAATGATCCTCATCACAGTGGTTATCACAGAAGAATCCCTTTGGGAATACTTTCAAAAGTCACTCCTCCCTTTGCCCCTAGATTCTGAAACCTCACCATTGAGAACCAGTAGGTTAGGAGCATTGCCAAGAGATTATTCTCTGTGGTCCCGACAGGTTTGTATGGATTTTGTAGCCAGGTACAGGATGGGTCTAGTCACACTTCTTCCTGGCAGCAGGCCTGGATCCTGGGCAATGGAAACAGGGGTCAGCAGAGTACAGGGCCCAGCTTGCTGCTGGTACTCAGCGAATTGCAGAAGATACTATCGCTTGAGCACCTGGTGGGGATGTCCAGAATGAGCACAGTGTAGGTCATTTTCAAGTCTAGTTAAGAAGACATGGTGCAGGGTTGTTACCAGGAAGGGATGGTGGATATGGGCAGTGCTGAGCCTCTGCAGATCACTGGTACCTGGGTTTTAGCCATGGTTTGTGTGAGAATGTGTACATTGTTGGGCAGGGTTATGAGTTAACCCGGGAGCTGCATCGCCTTTCCCCTTTGGACAGGTTCAGCTTCCTTCTGGTCCACCTGTGATCGCTCAACCTGCTTCTCCAATAGCTTTTAGCCAGACATCTCGCCATGGCTGGGGAACTGCAGGAAACACCAGGCCCAGACTACTGACAGGGAATAATGACATTTATCCCTTGTCTATGCTCTGTGTGAACTGCTATTTGGGTCCCTCTATATCAGTGGGTGGTCACACAATTGTGTCACCCAATTTTATGTTCTCCCTATAAAGTGCATTCACTCTCAGGAGGGGCTTTCTCTCATGGTTACTTCCCATTTCTCCCCCAACTGACATGCCATGGTCTAGTTCTTCTGTAAATGTACCCTCTTGGATTTTTTTTCACCTGATCTTTTCGTAATATATCCATGCTATAATCCTATAGACCCTGAGACTGGGTCTTCTGCCTTTCTTATAGCAAGAGCTTCCTTGGTATTGGGGCATTTCTCCCCAATTCAATCCTCTAGAAATGATACCCTCATGGCTTACAAGTTTCTGACTAGTTGCTTGTGAGGGAAATGCTCCCCAATACCTGGCCTTCCTATAACACAGAGTCCTAGCCCTGTTTGCCATAGGAGTCTCCCCAAAAGTTTTCTTCTCATTCACTACCTCTCCCCTCCCTGGTGTCCAGAGGCATTTAAGGTCCCTTCCCCACAGGTTGATGTTCAATACTTTGTTATTCTTCTTAATACTGGTTACATTTTCCTCTATTCTGTGTTTATAAGCTTTGTCTACCTACTTCTGTGTGAGGAAAATTTGCATGTAATAGAGTGTTTCTACTTATGGGGGGGTAGGTCATGTGTCTGGGGGTATTACCCTTTGTATCTCTACCTATTGGCATGTGTGTGTTCCTGTAGCCCTCTGTGCTGCTGGGGTCTTGTTGGTGCAGTTATACACAGAGTTCTGTATTTCAGATGCGACTGTCTTTACAGGGATAAATGACTAGATGAACAAGTGTGCCTTAAAATGGATCAGGGTGATGGACATTTGGGGAATCAGTGATCTGGTCTATAAACCCTGAAAGTGCTTAAGGAACAAATAGAAGGAATTAAGCAGGTGTGTGCTGTTATGCCTGGAATAACTGGCTTTCTTGGTTCACATGCATGCTTCTATAAGTACACTCCAGGGCTAGAGGGGCAGGCTAGGAAAAGATTTCCTTTTGTGGTCATATTACAAACTCTCATTTGGCCACTTATACTTCAGATTTTCTCACACTCTTCCAGCAGATTTTATTTTTGTTCCCAGCTGAGGATTGGGTACCTTAACCCATCCTTACAAAGACTTTGGTTTAGAGCAGACAGCCCAGGTCACTTCCACCTCCTGCTTGCCGGTACCGACCCTGGCCATAAGTTGTGTAGGCCCCAATTTGGGTGCTTCTTTAGGGATTTGTGTATGTTAGAAACCCTAGGACTTTGTCCCAAGCCATGGAAGACCAATCTTATCAGTCTTCCATCAGTTCAGGCTCACTTTAGGGTTAGGGGTCGATAGGTACTGTAAAATAGGTGTTGCTGTACTGTGCACTTGAGTTGAGTCTATTATTCCATAGGAGAAACATGATTCAGTCCTGGTGACTTGGCATGCACCTTTAACATTCTGCATAGGGTTGTGCTGACTCAGCCTTCTGTCCGGCCACTGTGTGTCACTCTCTGGAACTGGAATGCTACAACTAAGGACTTCTGGTCTGAGAAAGGGGCTGGGGAGAAATGCTTCCAGCCACTGGGAACATGGACTGATAGACCCTCAAGCAGCATGTTGATTGACCTAAGTCAGCAGAGTCAGCCAGGTTCTTTTGCCCCCAAAATTCCAGGGTTCCAGGTAAGTACAGTTGCTCAGAATCAGCTCTTTTCTACCATTGTGAATGCACGTGGTATCTCCAGGGCAGGGTGTTTGTGTAAGAGAGAGTATGTTGGCTGGCAAGAAGAGGAGGGATTTCTGGGTACATTAACTCTTGGTGAAAATATTCAGAGTTCAGACCTACCCTGGTCTGAAAATATTCAGAGTTCAACCTACCTTGGTTGTCAGTCCTAAGATGCATGATGTGATACCTCTAATCATCCTGTGCCAGCTGTTTGTTAAGGTTTTCTTTAAAATGTTTCCTTTTTTTTCTCATTTTTGTTCTAATTTGCTTTGTTTTCAACTTTTATACATAAGTCACATCCCCAAAAAGCACAGAGTGAAAAGGCCGTTTTCCTTATACATATGCTGCTAAAATAATAGTTTTATACACAGAATTTAAACAGAAGAGAGAAAAAGACAGGAGGGAGGGGTGCAAGAGAGATGTCAGAGTCAGGGAAAGAAAGGTGGCAGCAAGTGCTGGACTGTAGTGGGTCACCTTCTCTTCTGTTGCCTACATTTGTAACTGGAATTTTGGGTATCATCAGAATAACTAACTTCACCCCGCCCCCAATTTGCTTTAGTTGGAGTTTTTAATTCTAGAAGTGAATGGGATAGGAAGTTAGACTCACAGAATATATGAAGGACCAAGCTGAATTTTCTCTCCCCTCCCATCTTTTCTACACACAAGCCACTGAACAGAGTGGTGTGACGGACAGATTGGAAAACCCATGTCCCAGGGCTGGATGAATTTTTGTGTGAATATGAAATGGATAATGGTGGCAGAAGAAGCCTAAGGGGAAGAGAGAATGGAAGGGAAATACCTTATGAGAGGTCTTAGGGACAAGGGTAGTAGGTTAAACTATGTGGAGAACATGGGAAATTTTGCAAGCTTTTCTTTGCTAAAATAAAACATCCACTTCTCTACCCCTTGCCACTTTAGCTGGACTTTGGGGTTGTCAAAATTACCACTCAATGGTTATAGAAACAATCATCGTTGGTTAACCAGGTTAGGGATGGGGAAACTTCTCCTAGGTCATTCCTCTTCTGTTGATTCCCTTGGTGGTATCACCCTATCATAGATTCCCTTGTGCTTCAGTCACCTCTTTGTCTACCCATCCCCTCAGCTGACATCAGCTCTAGACCCCCATAAGCTTCACGGATGGGTCCTGACTCCTTTGGGGATGCCTCTATCAGCTGTTGCTTAATGGAGGAGCTGGCTGAGCTGGGCTGGAGGACACAGATGGGAGCAAGGGACCAGCCAAGGAGGCCATTAGGGAGGAAAGCAGGAGGAGGGCTTTGTGAAAGAGGCCTACCACTCTTTGTGAAAGGAAAGAGTGGTAGGCAAAAGGGAAGCATACCTTGAATTCAGAAACCAAACTGCCACCCCTTTCTTCCTGGGACTGCCAAGATACTTTTGGCGACATTGACTTTTCTAAGTCACAGCTGGGAATAAGGGGATTATCACCTGTCCTGCCCCACAGTCCAGGTTCTTCTCCCCATCACCAGCTCCCACCTGTGAGACAGGGTATGGCCAAGGGAAGGCTGCACTGCTCCCAGTTCTGTGAGGATCAGAGGATCACCAGACCCTTGGCAAGGAGTTAAAGCCATTTGATCTACCCAAGATGAGGTGGTTTAAAGAAACTCTTAAAATGGGGGTGGGGATGACACAAACAGGAAAAAACACTTCTTTAATGGGAGAGGTTTCTTTTTTTTTTTTTTTTTT